TCCTCTCCGAGCCGGGTGCCGGGCCGGTGCAGACGCGGCGTGCGAGCGAGCGTCATCTCGCGGGACGCGGCGAAGGCGGTGGCAGGGAGGACTTTCGGCGACGCTCGTGGTCGCCGATTTACGCGTTCATAGCCGCTGCCTGCGCGGGATCGATAGTTACGGCGCTGCTGAGCTGGTCGGGGCGGCGGGGGGGTGATTGTGGGGGCGGGGTGGAGGGGGGTACCGAGGCAAGTCTGTAGTTGGGGTGCGCAAGACACGGTGAGGAGTCGGCGGCGAGGCGTTTGGCTTGGGTAGGAGAGAGAGAAAAAAAAAATGCAATCACGTTTTGCCACTATAAATACGGTGGAGAAGTAATGTGGTGTGAAATGTGGCCAATTATGCACCGTTACGTGATGAATTATACTCCACCGCCTGCCGGCCTAATGCCCGCCCGGCTCCCGCCCGGTGCGGGAAGCTCTTAATAAATAGTGACGGCACCTCTCACGTCCCGGCCACACTCTGCCCTCTTATTGGGTTGCCGGCTGCTGTCTCCCTCCGTGTTTGTTGTTATTTATTTATTTGCGCCACGCGCCGCGCGGGGTGTGATTATGGCGCAGCCTGCATTATCGGCGGTGCCGTGCCTTCACCTCCGAGCCATTAATAACCGCCGCTCATAAAGACAAATGGCCAAACGCAATTTCTACATCAGGCGCGTCCCGCTGTTGTTTCCATCACCGCGGCTTAGCGAATTTATTTCACTTCTTCATATTATTTTTGGCCCATTAAGAAGCGCCTTGACAAATAAATTACATTAGCCAATCTGTTCACGCCGTGGTTGTTTGTCAGTTTGCATTGTGGGTCGGGCGGGCGGCTATTGAGCGGCTCGGGGAGCGTGTGCGTGCGTGCGCGGCATCTCTTTGTAAACGAGCGGGGCGTGACACGTCGCTGAGCTCCCCTTAACCCCGTCGTGCGCGCCGCTGCGTCCACGCAGGCCTTTCGGCACGGACCGCCTCCTCCATCGGCACCGTGACAAACCGACGGTCCACCGCCCGGACTCGGGGAGTGGGGGGGGGGTCACCAGACGAGGGGGGGAAACGTTTGTGGAGAGATGCCACTCAAGATGTGAGCGAGCGTGCCACTTGCGTGTTCACGCGACACGGTGACGACACGGTGACGACACGTGACACGGTGACACGTGACACGGCGCGTGAGCGAGCGGTCGCTCAGAGTGACGGCGGCGCCTGAAGGCCGGAGCTGTCACGGCTAAAGGGCGTCGGGGGCAGCCACGTTCCCATTACGGTGGAGAACCCCCCCCCCTCCCCCCAGGCCTTGCGGCGCTTTAAAGATCCCCTGCGCTTGTTTGTAAATTAAAAACCAATAACGGTCTGGCGATGAAGCCACGCTTACTTACTGCAATGCAACATCAGGAGAAATGGTTCGAAAAATGTAGGCTCGTTTTCTTTAATGTGATGGCTTCAAAGACGAATAAGTGCTTAAGAGATGAAAATGTGTAACACTCTTATTAGCCCTGACGTAGTTATACGATCACTTGAATTTTTAAATGCCTCCAATTGAAAAAAATAAAAAATTGTAATTTATAAAAAAAATAAACAGAAGTCCACTTAGTTTCACATTCAAGAATGTGGGTGCCCTGGCTGCTCGGCTTGAGCGCAGCGAGTGTCTTCTCCAGTCATCCCCATCAGCAGGGGGGCTTGTCGGCACGGGCATCGGAGATGGCCTTGTGCTCCAGTGTGTTGTAATTAACGCTAATTCGGGATTCGAAATAAACTCTCGCGACAGCGAAGATATCCGCCGGTCAGAAATTCGCGGAAGAGGTGCTGAAATTTCTATCAAGCCTTGGGCGAGCAAATCGAGTCACGGGTGGCAATTACAGGAAGATAATTGCAAAGTGGTGTGCCGGGGAGGGAGCGAGCCTCTTCCGCCAAACTGATTGGAGGCCAATTATCATCCTCTCATAAAGGAATCGCTAACCTTTAACCAAATTTAGCGTCGTGGAGGATGAGCCGCGATGACGACTGTGCCGCCACCCTCCTTATTACTTTTATTTCCAATTAGTGCAGCCCGTGGCCTCTGGTCGCGTCTGTCAAGAGAAGCGAGGCGCCTGGCGCTAATTCGTAAACTGTCGCTCGCAAAAAAGTTTTCCGCGCCGTGCGCGTTAGCAGCGTCGGCGGAGGCTGCGGAGACGCGTGGCGCCAGCGAGCGTTCGGGCTCATGAAAGCAAATGAGAGATTTTACTGCCGTGATTATGAAAAATTAAGAATTTGCTGCCGTGACAGCCGCGCGGCTCTGGCCCTGGGTATGAATGTTTTATTTTTTATAATCCGCACGTCCGCGTGCGTTTCAAAAGGGGGGCTCGGTGCGTGATTTGTTGATGTTGGGCGCCTTTGAAGTTTCCTGCAGGTGCGGTTGAGCAGGTCGTTCGTTTTTTTTTCTTTTCATGGAGTGGCGGTCGCAACCGTTGCGCCGAAGCCCTAGAAATTACGGAGGCAGGACAGGGGCCGGGCTGCGAATCCGCTGATAAGTTATCGTCCTCATCGGATTAGCACCGCGACGGCAAATGACGTTTGCGGAGAAGCGAGCAGAGATTACCGCGACCTTAGCTTCCGAAATATTCGCCGTGATCTCTGACTCGGGAGGGGGCAGGCTCCGCTACGACGCCGTGTGATCGTCTTGCGGTTGTCTCGTCAGAGCCGGCTGCCAAGCGCCGCGCCGTGTGCACCGCCATGCGGAGCGGAACACAAAGAAATAGTGCTTCACGCACGCACGCATACAAGCATACACGCACGCACGCGCACACACACCGATCCACGCACGCACATTCATAATCTTTCAGTGCTGTTGGCGAAGCTACTGGGGCGCGCGCTGCGTACACGCGCGCCCGCGTTTTAAAATGCACCCACCGGGTTTCACAGACCTGTGCGCGTGTGTTTTCGACTGTCTCTCATTTCCAAACGTAATTCTTTATCAAGTAAATTACACAAAACGCGCCTGTATCTGCACATGCGCAGTGTTTGTATTTAATTAAACTATTTAATAGCGCCCCGCTTTATTTCTATAATTAATGACTAACGTTTGAACAGTGTGATAATTTCTTCGTGACTGCTGAAAAAAATTAAATCATTCCAAAAAAAATCTATTTAAAACGGAGAGAAACGCAACGTCTCGTTCAGAACTGCGCGCGTTAATAACCAAGCCGAGAAGTTTCCGTGTTGATGCGGCTTTTTGTTTTTTTGTCGTAAATGACGGCGCCAATTAGTGCAAGATGTTTGTGCGAAGCGGCGGATCTCGGTGCCGTGGCGGGCGGGGGGGCGACGGCGGCCGGGGCCGTTGGTTGGACCCCGGGACCCTCCCCCCACCCCCCCTCGGGGTCGCCCACCGTACCCCCGCGGCATTGCCGGAGGGCCGGCGAGCACCCCGTCGGCCGATCACCCGACCGGACGCGTGCGCGGCCCAAGCGCGGAGGTTCGGGGGGGCCGAAATCGGCGCGGCGCGGGGGGGGGGGCGGTTATCAGGCTTAACATTCAATCGTTAATTAATAGTGATGCCAACGGATACAAAAATACATTTGTAAGTGACGGCGTAATCACTCGCGGGCGACGTGCGGTGGCAGGCATTGTGTGCACTCTTGACTGGGAATGTTGGTGAGTAAAAGTAAGCCTATAATTACGGAGGGTTTTTTTTTTTACGATTCCTTTTGATGTGCCCAGAAAGATTAGCGCCCGGGCCCGCACACCGCATCCATCACATTATCACGCTATTTGTGTATTAAAGCCCAACAATCAATCTGGATACATTACATTATCTCATTTCTCCTGCCGTTGTGTGTTCTTACTCTGCTCGCTGGCGCGCGCGTGCGTGCGTGCGCGTCTGTGTGTGCGCACGGCATCGAGGCGGCGGGTGAAATGCCTTCGTTTTGCGATGGCTTGTTTTCCGTCCGGGGGCTTTGGTGGTCCGCCCCCCCCGCCGTTACCCCCTGCGGCCCTCGCCACCCGATCAAATTTAGCAGGCCCACCTTATTACTGACAGACGGCAAAAGAAAATTTGCCGAAATCAACAGATTACAGCTGATCCGTCCGCCCTCTCCCCCGGAGCGAGTTACATTTTTTTCTCTTCTTCTTCCGTGGATGAAATTTTCTGAAAGAAAAAAAAAAGAGAGAGAAAGTGATAAGATAAGAGGAGATCGGGTGTTGGGTCGGCCCCGGCTGTAATAACGCCGGTAACAGGCGCTAGACGGCCCGCCCGATTGATAACGCGGCGCACAGCTCCTGCCGTGTCCCGCGGGTTTCTGTTTTACCGCCGCTATCTCGCGCTTCGGTCAGATGTTTTAATTCCGGCTCGACAGAGATGTTTCGCTTTCAGCTTTCAGAGATTATTCCCAAAACACAATCATTTTTTTTTTGTTGGGGGGGGGCCTCATTTGGTTGCTGCCGGCTCGGTGGGGGAAGGCGGAGGGGGGGTGGAAGGAGGAGGAGGGGGTGGTGCCGTGGCCAGGGTCCGCTCTGGGACCTCACGCAGCCCACCGCGTTAGCGCTGCCGAGTATTATTTGCTTAGCGCGTAACGGTCTAATAACCGGCAGATGTTCGGGAACTGTTCGCTCGGCGTTACGCGTCATCAGCGAGAGTCTCATCTAATTTGTGCGAGAGAAGATGAAAACAACATTCTAATTATCAACATTGCACGTTTCGGATGTATTATTATTATCCAAAGACAAATTAATGAGAGACTTTCCACTCGAAGCAGTGCGGCTTTTACAAGTGCTCATGAAAACAGCGGCAGTGTGGCTTGTCACAATACCCTCCAATGGATGCTTTACACACGAGCAAGATTAAGCGCCAACACAACATTCCCCTCACTTTGTGCGCTTCTGCAACACGTCTTTTTTTAATTTGTGATATTTTTTCGCCTTTTCCCCCCTCCCCAACCCCCCCCCCGGTCCACTGTCCCCCCCCCCCCCCGCTCCCCCCCCCCGCCCTGCGTTGTTTTTATTTTCTGCTTTCAGACGACTGCAAGAATATCGCCGCCATCCTGAAGGAGCTGGCGCGCCGCGGAGCAACACTGGAGGCGACGGCTCAACTCTGACGCGCACATTTAGCGTCGCAGACGCTCAGCGCTCAGAGCACCTTGGGCCGCTATGTTCGTGGCCAACTGCGGCGGTGCGCACGCACGCACACGCAGGCGCACGCACGCACACGCACGCACACGCAGGCACACGCAGGCACACGCACGCACAGCCGGAAAAAACCGTCACAAATTAGATAGGCGCGGCGAAAGCGCGATACGCACAGAAGATAAAAATAAACACAACACACGCACGGACACCGCGGGTCACTTTTATATGCTGCGTGTACATGTATAGCTCTTTTATCGATCCACTGCTGGATGAGTGCCCGCGTGCTGTGCGGGTCGTGGTGGGGGGGGGCGGCCATACTTCACCACGCTGGTCATTTTGCGGGTTGGTGACGGCTCTGAGTGCAGCCGTGAGAGCGAGGAAGCACTGTGCGGCAGTCGATGTTGCTGCACTCTCCTCCGCTGCCCCACGCGTAGGCCCGCAGCCTATAGCATCTGGCTTGCATAGTGGGTACCTGTCCAAGACTTGAACCTCCTTGGGCTTCCGAGAGGGGACGAGGCTGGAGGCATCCCTCCACCCGGTTGGTCTCGGCCCGTTGTCATGGGACCCGACCTCGGACGGTGTCCACGTGGCATCGATTAATTGCCGATTCTCAAGATAGTCGCATCGAATCGCGTCGGGTCGGAAGCGCTATCGTTTTGTTGTCGTGCACCGCGGCTTCACGTGGTCCCTCCAGCCGCCAGAGGCTGCGGTGACCGCCACACGCTGCTAAAGCGCACGCGGCAAAGCGATGCCGGGGCGAGTTTGCCGGACAGCGGCGTGCGAGCGGAGCGCAGTGATGCGGCGCTTCGAGAGCGCTCGCCGGGTAAACTAAAAAAAAAAAACGGTCACGCGCCGGAGCGGCGTGAGCGGAAACTCGCTGGCGCGTCTTTCAGCCGCGCGACCGCGAGAACGAGAACACGCAGCGGCTCCCCATTTACGGAGGTTGTTAACGGACCCAGTGGACATGGTGGGTTTGCCACTTGCGCTGCTCGTCACCGCCGTGCTGCCTGCTGATCACAGACGCGCCTCTTCACAAGAAATAATGACTCCTCGCTTACAACCCTAATGTAATCCCTTTTTTTGTGCAAGTGCTGATCGCGGCATTAAATATTTTCTGGTGCGATATTTTTTCCGTAATTATCAACTTTTATTTCACCGTGTGGTGTTTCGCCGGCGTGTCTGTGCGCGTGTCATTTGTTATCGGCACAGTAATATTCGCTGTCATTCCTGCTGTGGTAATTAGGGCCGTGCTAAATCCTTTTTTTGAGGCAGTCTTCTTCGATGCCGTGAGAACAGGGGCTGTGCCCTCCTTAGAGATATCCGTGCGAGGCACGGTGGCGCAAACCTGTAATCCGGCGCTTTGGAGGAGCGACTTGGTGGATGTGACACACATTTGCAAAAACTCTTGGGCCTGCAAGGTGGCCATCAATGGCGGTGCAGCAAGGCGATTGCCTCCATCTGTGCGGAGCTTCGTTCTGTTCCTTTGTACGTGTGGGTTTCTTTGCAACTTGAAGCCAGATCCCAAAATGGAATTGGCCACACACATCCCGGGGGCAGGTACCCTCCCAAAAATTATCGTCGTCTTCATTTTAGACCGTGGCGGTCTCGCGAGTAAATCTCGAGGCACCTGAACAGATGCGGCGCATACAACGAGAGGAATCGCTCTGTGTGAGAAAGTGATTGCGGGCTAAATGAAATGTGGAAAAACAATCGAAAAGAGCATTGAGACGAGCGTGGTTTCCTTGGATAAACAGAGAACATTATTGTTGTTACCGCAGCTGCTACCCGCGGGTTATTATGGGGTAGTGAGTAAGGTGGGGGGGCGGGGGGGTGGAGGCGCCCCCCCCAACTCATGACTGTGGCTGGCCCCCCACTCTCTCTTCCTGCAGTGCGATGGTCTGCCCTGCAGCGCTGCCCCGTGTGTGTCACGTGCCAAAGTTCTCCGCTCAAAACTTCACCAGCAGCCGATTTGCGCAGCTTCATTAAATTTTCAATCGACTCAGGTGCTGTGGCCGGCGTTCTAAATCCTGTCGCCTCTGCTCTGGGAGGGAGGGAGGGGGGTGGTAAGGAGGGGGTGGGGGGCGATGGTGGATGTAAGAAGAAGAAAATGTTCAACGAGTGTTGAAAAATTCATGAAGTCTCGTGGAGGCGCGCCCCCCCCCCCCCCGATCCATGCCGGCCACCGACTGCGAGACTCAATAATGAGAAATCGCGACGAGGCGGAGAGAGAGAAATTTTTATATAATCACCGCTGCCTCGTGTGCGTGTGTTTTTTTTTTTGTTCTACGGCGACAGATTGTCGCTGGAACAAATTGCACTTTACACCATGCATGAGATAGAACAGCTGCGGCGGCTGCTGCAGGGGCCTCGGCGCTACTCAATAATTGATTATTGTTTGATTATTTGAGTCGCGCGCGGGCCGCGCCGTGCAGGTGGATGCGGGGGGGGGGCGAGGTCGGTGCGGGGGGCTCCTCGTTAGCTCCGCGCCGGCTACGGAGACGTCGCCCCCTCCTCCTCGCACCCCCCCCCCTCTCCTCCTCGTGCGCGAACCTCGCGGCTCCGTGGAAATGTCCGAGACTCGGGGAGCCGAACTCGGGGTGGTGGTGTTGACATCAGAGGTGGATTCCAGAGGGTGGGGGGTGGGGGACATTTGGGGTGATCGCTCTCCCACCCCACCTCGTGACCCCACCCCTTCCCGTTGAGTCTCCGAAAATGTAAAAAAAATAATGTGTTGATGTTTACCGGAAAAAAAGGTAGTTTAGAACTTTTCATTTTATTTGACTTCATTTAGGGTCCTATTCAGAAGTCCCAACGGAGTCGCCCTCGACAAGCCCTCCGGCCGTCCACCCGGCAGCGTCGATGTTGCATCGACACGGCCCGCCGGTCGCCTGTTCAGCGTGGAAGAGTAGACCAAGTATCCTGCAGAGCTTGGCGGAGGTCCCCTCCCCTTCCGCCAGAAGTGGCGTGAACAGGCTGTTGCGGGGCTGCCCCTTTGCCTCGAGTTTACCCCTTACACCCCCTTACACCCCCTTACACCCCCTTACACCCCGTACGTGATTCACCATGAAGCCTGCCGCCGTGCGGTACCATCACACGCGCCAATCGGTGCGTTAGAAGCAAAATCCGCTGAAATCGGTTTCCGAGGTCCCTAACTTTCCGAACCGGTTTCTGAAAACGGTTTTCAGTCTTACCGACGGTTATCGTCTAACAACGCCAACCCACACTGAGACTACTGTGACTATAACATCTCTAATCTATTTTAGATTTTACCAGGTCAGGCCCACCCGTGCTATATAGCTCTTCTGATTTGAAGCCTTCGTGACTGCACGGATCCATACTCTTTGGTTCTTTCGGTAAAGTCACGTAGGTAGCAAATAAAATAAATCACGACGTTTCGGGCGCAACACAAGCGAGTGACGGACGCTTGTGTTGCGCCCGAAACGTCGTGATTTATTTTATTTTCTACCTACGTGACTTTACCGAAAGAACCAAAGAGTATTTGTAGGTCTTTTTTCGGAAGCGGCATGGCGATCACAAATGACAGCCCCACGAAGTGGCTCATCACCGCGTGGTGAATGCAGAGCAGCCAAATACTCTAAGTGCGTGTTTCGAAATGCGGAAGGAAAAATCGGAGGACCTGGAGAAAAATCCACACGACCATGTGGGGAGAGAAACACACCGCCAACTCCAAATATAGAGCAGCAGGCGTCAGGGTCAGGATCGAACCCACGCGTTCCTGTATACCAGGCGAGGTCGTTAATGTCTCGCCACCGTGCTAAGCCAGTGACGTTTCCGCCCTCGTGATTCGATGAATTGCCACGATGCGTAACAGCACCGCAGCTGTTACGAATGTCACCACATCGACATTCTCTGCAGTCCGCGTGTGCGCCTGGGTATCTCACATCGTTACATAACATCTGTCCAACCATTATGCCTGGTCTCTCCAGTCCACCCACTATGATTCAAGCAAGCATAACTCTGCTGTTGAGACATCGTATGCCGAAAACAAGTTTTGCTTGGACTGACTCAACGTCACTGGAATTACTCCCAGAAGGCCGTGGGGCCGATGCGTTTGTGTAACAAACAAACAATAAAAAGTGTAATTATATACAGAGACCGATATGTGCAGGGTACTTATTGTCTTGGCTGTATTTTCTAATTCATATTCTCCACAACGACACTTCCTTCCGCCCGTCGCTGCCTCTGCGTGCGCTGGGAGCCTGGGAGCTGCCGGGGAAACGAAACTCGTGATGAGAATCCGGCGCCGCGAACGATGACAATTCGTGTGTTACACTCCGCGCCACCGTTTTAATTTTCACCAGCGCGCGTGCCCGCTCTAATTTGTCGCGCTCGAGCAGGGCCTCGTTATTCGTTGTTGTTGTTTCTCGGTGGGATGTAAACACGTTCCCAAAGGCTTTTCTTCTGCTCGAAAAGTCGACGGAACTGCATCGGACAAAGCAAAGTGGCGAGCGACGGTCACCTCCATCCCTGGCTCCTATAACGAGCTCGTTTGCGCGGTGCCATCTCCACCAGACTGAAGAATTTTTTTTAAACAACTCGACATCCGCGGGGCCATCCACTCCTTTGAAACGTCATTTGGAAAAAGAAAAAAATACTCGCACGTGCCGAGCGGGATAAGCTAAACCATTGCCAAAACTAACGACCGCTCCCCGATAAACTAAAAGCAAATTCACCCCAATGACCCCCCCCCCCCCCCATTTTGTCGGATTTCACAGCGGTACTTTATATAGATGGCACCAACAGGTGAAGAATCATTTCGCCTGGGGCCCATGGACCGACGTTCCTGTTGCTCGCATCGCATCCCATGCAGAGCCCACGGGGAGGGGGGGGGTGGAGGATGGGACTCGCGGCATCCCACTCTGCGTAGCCCTGGCAGCTCGTTGTGGAGAGCCGCCGCTCAGGGTGCACATTCGTGCCTTGACTTGTGGGGGGGGGGGGGGTCCCATTTGGTTCTGACACCGGCTCACTCCGTGGGGGGGCGTGGGTGGTGATGAATGCCCCACGACGACGGCCACTGAACCACACCCCAAAGTGAAAGTTGTGGGCCACAGCATCCCAGCCACGTGCCCATTGTGACCCCGCCCCGGGGTGTTCCGCACGCTGCGCTCATCCCGCAGGTGTCGCTGGCAATTCACTCGCCCCAGGTGGGGGGGGGGGGGGGAGCCTCGCCGGGTCCCAAGAATGTTTGTCGGGAGGGAGCCGCCACGCCGAAGCTCGGAGCGGCCTGCGAGAGGCAATGGGAGCGAGCGAGAGCCCGGCAGGGAATTCTCGCTCGCTCGCAACTCCACAGGTGGATTCAGTCCGCGGTCAAATTCAAACCTCTACTCTGTCCGCGAAACCAAACTCGATGCTTCACCGCCAACTCGCGACTCCTCGCAAGCCCCCACCCACCATCACCCACCCTATTCACCCACCATCACCCTCCACCACCACGCCACCCACCCACCCCACCACGCCATGGAAGCACGAACAGGGATCAGATCTCTTTAGCGTTTGAGATCCGATGAGATCGACCGCGCTCTGTGTGATTTGGTCGCCACGACGCTGATAATGGGCGCTCATTCGATGCGTGTTCTCCTAATTAGTTTAGGGCTGTATTTTGCCTTTTGTCTTTTTTTTTATCTCTAAGCAAATTATCTCAAATTCTTTAACGCTGTTGTCTTTGTTTAGCCGATAAAGGCTATTGACTGACGGTGGCGGGGTGAGTTGGGGGGGGGGGGCAATAGCTGATAGGTGCGTAATGGGTACCAGGCCAGAACATTACCACTTAGCCCCCTCTGCAAGACACAATTCCGCAAAACAACCTTCAACAATCGAACACGGCAGCGATCATTACTGCCGCCTCTTCTGTTTGACTTTCACCAGCGGGTTCACGGTCAAGTTGGCAAAACTCCGTGGATATTCGTCTGGAAGTGAAATCAAATGAGAAACTTTTCCGGAGGAAGTTGTTTCCCCCCCCCCCCCCCCCTCCGATTACGCTATTAGCCGCAATCGCTGTACATTAAAGTTTAACGAGCTCAAGCTGTCACGCACCGCCGCATGTGACGCTGGCGCTAGGGAGTTTAAACTACAGACAAGGGAGCTCATGGGAGCGCAGAAGCTCA